GTCTGTACTGCTAGCCCCTGAGGGAGACCCGGATGCACTAGACATCCCGACTCCGCGCTCTTACGCGGAGGCGATAGAGGGTCCCTACTCCTCTCAGTGGCAGGCAGCTATGGATGCAGAGATGGCTTCCTGGAAGTCCACAGACACCTACGTTGACGCTGTTCCCCCTCCTGGGGCGAACATCGTCAGTGGCATGTGGATTTTCAGGGTGAAGCGGCCGCCGGGTTCTCCGCCTGTCTTCAAGGCGCGTTACGTGGCTCGTGGCTTCAGTCAGCGGCAGGGGGTTGACTACTTTCAGACCTTCTCCCCCACCCCGAAGATGACCACTCTTCGGGTTCTGCTGCACGTTGCTGCTCACCGTGACTACGAGCTGCACTCTCTTGACTTCAGCACTGCTTTCTTGCAGGGCAGCCTGCACGAGGAGATCTGGCTGCGTCGCCCACCTGGCTTCACTGGGTCTTTCCCTCCTGGTACCCAGTGGAGTCTCCGACGTCCAGTCTACGGTCTCCGCCAGGCGCCACGTGAGTGGCACGACACACTGAGGACTACGCTCGCGGCACTTGGGTTTGCTCCTTCTACTGCCGACTCGTCGCTGTTTCTTCGCACCGACACCTCTCTGCTGCCGTTCTACATCCTCGTGTACGTCGACGACTTGGTCTTTGCCACAGCTGACACTGCTGGACTCGCCTACGTGAAGTCCGAGCTGCAGAAGAGACACACGTGCACTGACCTGGGTGAACTGCGCAGCTACCTTGGCTTGCAGATCACCCGGGACAGAGCACGCCGCACCATTACCCTGACTCAGTCACACATGGTGCAGCAGGTCCTTCAGCGCTTCGGCTTCACGTACTCCTCGCCTCAGGCCACTCCTCTGCCTACTCGCCACTCGCTCTCAGCTCTGCCTTCGGATGAGTCCGTAGAGTCGAGTGGCCCGTACCCAGAGCTTGTTGGCTGCCTCATGTACCTGATGACCTGCACACGACCTGACCTCGCATACCCTCTTAGCATTCTTGCACACTTTGTTGCTCCTGGGAGACACCGACCAGAGCACATGGCTGCAGCGAAGAGGGTGTTGCGCTACTTGTGCAGTACGTCGGGCATGGGGCTAGTGCTTGGAGGGCGCAGTCCAGTGGTCCTCACTGGGCACGCAGACGCTTCTTGGGCTGACGACCAGGCTACGCAGCGGTCGTCACAGGGTTACACCTTCAGCCTTGGTTCCGGCTCTGTCTCGTGGCGGGCTACCCGCTCGTCTTCTGTTCTCGGCTCCAGTTGTGAGGCTGAGATCTACGCTGGGGCTATGGCTGCACAGGAGTTACGCTGGCTCACCTACCTGCTGACCGACCTTGGAGAGCAGCCTCGTTCTCCTCCAGTCCTGTACGTAGACAACAAGGCCATGCTGGCCTTGTGTCGAGAGCAGCGACTGGAGCACAGAACGAAGCACATTGCTCTCCGCTACTTTCTTTCTCGTGAGCTACAGCAGCGTGGACAGTTGCGACTTGCGTACGTGGCCTCTGAGGCCAACACTGCTGATGTCTTCACCAAGGCACTTGCGCCTTGTGATCATCAGCGTTGTTGCACGCAGTTGGGTCTTGTGCCTGTCTTGTCTCACTTGCTCTCCTCTTGACCTTGCTTGTACCTTCGCCTATATATACTCTTGCTCTTGCTTACTTGACTCTTGTATATCTCTATATATGATCTTGCATGTGAACTGGCCTTCTGGCCTTTGAACTTGTGCTCGGAATGCGTGGTGACTTTGTGATCCACCCTGAGCTTTGCTTTGCTTTGCTTGACTGGTCTTGTGACCCCTTGTTCTCCCCCACTTTGCCTATGGGGGTGTGTCAGAACATATAGCTTACTTGTTTCTGTAGGCTATAGTGGGGTATCCCATAGGGGGTACAACCCCATAGGGTTTCCTATTTGTACTCACTTCATTTCATAGTCATTCATTCCTGTTCCTTACTTTCACAATAATCTAACTGCTTCCTTAGTTCGTCGAGCTCGGGCTGTGTCAGTCTGAACTGGCGCTGTACAGTTGGCTGTGCCCCCGGTTCTAACTCGATCCTATCGTCATGCGCCCGCTGAGGTGGCAGCCCTTGTGGTAAGTCATCCGGAAAGATACCCGGGAATCGTTTCAGTAGTGCCTGAAGTTCAGGTGGTACAGCTGCCAATAGTTTCTGAAAACCGCTCGGCAGCTCCTCTTCTTGCACTAATGCTATATCCACTGCGTACACGTCAGCTCCAGCAGCGACAGCCCGTTTCATCGTGATGGCGTTGACCTGGACCGTCGAAGACTCGGGTGGCTGCCAGCGAGGTAGGACGACCCAGTTACCACTATTTCGCACTGTGCAGCTACCCGTCGTCCAGTCAATTCGCGGGTTATACCGTCGCAGCCAATCACGTCCCAGTAAAATGTCGTGCCCATCCAGTGTCGTTGCGAGCATTTCCTGTGTAAACCCGAAGTTTCCTCCGCAGCGGACTTTTACTCGCTCCACCTTTTCTCGTATGGCTAGTGGCGTTCCGTCGACTAAGCGTGCATCTATCTCAGGTAAGCATCGGTTAAGTGTTAACTGTAATTTCCGTGCGGTTGCGGTATTAACTAAGCTGTGACTTGCTCCCCCGTCAATAAAAATCTTCACTGCTGCTCCATGTATTTTCCCGTAGATCAGTACCGGGCAATCCGTCGCTGTACCCTCCTTATTCATCCGAGCCCGATCGATGGCGTGAATCGGTACTGTGACTCGGTGAGGGTCGGTGTGGTTGGGCGAGCAGGCAGTCTCGTCAGTAGTTGGCCCAACTTCTACTGACTGCTGGCGTTTCCCTGCCTCTGAGACTCCCTCCCCTGCTCTGCTCCTCGGCGCCTCAACTCCTCTGGGCATTCGCTCTTGCGATGGCCCGGCCTGTTGCAAGCAAAGCAGCGCCCTTTAAACGGTGCGGCAGCTGCATTTGTTGCAACGGCGTGTACAGTGGCGTGCTCGGTCGGTCCCCGAGGGCGATGTCCGTAATAGGACCCCGGTCTCGGTCGGCGTAGAATGTCGATCTTCTCGGCGAGCGCGAGAATCTCGTTAAAATTAGAGAGTCCGCGCAGCATTATTTCGTGCGAGATATCCGGCTTCAGCCCTCCGACATAACGGTCCACCCGCTCCGCTTCGTGCATGTAGCCGACCTGCTCGCAAAGTGCGAGAAAACCGCTTGTATAATCCTGAACTGACCCGAGCTGGCGCCAAGTGCGCAATCTCTGACGCGCCGAAATTGAAGCCGCGATCGGCTCAAAACGCGCCAGAAGCCCTGCGCACCACGCATCCCACGTGCTGTATTGGGCGGTCTCGCAGAACGAACTCCAGGTGACAGCTGGACCCGTGGGCCCTTCCTCGTGCGACGGTGGCTCGTAGGCGCGTGGCGACGTCACGATGACTCGCCACCAGTCCATGGCGGGGCCCCTTAGCAGTGAAACTGCATACCGGATCTTCGCGGCGTCCGACTCGACGTAATTTGCGTCGAAGAAGACGTTCATCGTGAAGACCCACGATTGAACCGTGGGACCGCCGCGTTGGCTTGGGTCGAAGCAGGGCGGGCGTTGTGGCTTGAGCGGCATTGGTGCCATGATGGCTTGTTCGCCACTTGTCGCCGCGAATTCCACGTGCCGACGGGCTTCTCGGGGCTCCCGCGGGCTTGGTGCGATCCTGTTTCCTCCCATGCCTGGCATCGGCTGGGCGGCGCCATTACTGGTTGTGCCTGAGCGTTGTCCCATGCTGTCGTGTTGTGTTGGTGTGCCGGACGAGATGACGATCGGTTCATCCGAATGTGCCGATACATTTGTTGGTGTGTGTGATGTGGTCGGAATGTTCACCGTGGATTGTTGACGGGCGGAGTCACGTTCCGCCGCGAGCGTCGCGATTTCGAGCGCTGAATCTTCCAGTTGACACACGAGACGCAAGTTGCTCCTGCGTTAACGTGGCGAGCGTGAAATCGGCCATGGCGGGGGTGTCGGGCAAGCTCAGTGAGAGCCTCGGTCGCGGCCGTGCGTGCTTGCGAGAGAGCACTACGAGCGGCGGTGCTGTATCGCTGAGAGACGTCTACCCCCCCCAAAAAATTGAGATAGTGGGGAAGCGAAGGTGTGGATGCGGTCTGAGCTGAGATCGTAGGCTCTGATAACCAAGTGTTACGAGTGCAATTGAGTGAACGAACGAGAATTGCACTATCGAAGCAAGAATACAATGAGCGAGGGCGTGAGCGAAGAATATATAGCGAAACTACAGTGGTAACGGTAATGGTCTGTGGTAGTCGCGCGACGAGCCTGGGACTGAGGTTGGGAAAGTGTCGAGGCGTAGGCCCGGAGCGCGGGTTACCAGCCGAGCCGTGAGGACGGGATGCGATGTGCGAAAAATGGCGGGATGATTGTCGATGCGATGATCGCGAGTGGTAACGGTGCTGACTGAGGTGCTACAGTGATGTACGCGTTGAGCAGGGATGAGAAGTAAGGAAAAAGGATTTTCCTTACACTTGGATACGTGTGACTGCTGGAATGTTGCTGTGCTGTGAGTTGTAGTCATACTGTACTAGCCAAAGCGTCGCATGATCGCATCGCTGGTCTCTCCCCACTGCTGCTCTGTATAGCCCTATTGAAACGTCACGTGTACGGCATGCTTACGTGACCTTTTGAGTCCTAGCCGTGCAAGGGCTCCTGCTAGTGACGATAAAGGAGTAGAATAGCATGGAAGAGCGTAGCAGTGGTTCCAATGTCCAGTGTGCCTCTTTCCTTCTCACGCCTCTCCTTCCGAATCGTGCCTTCGTTCAAAAGCTGGATCAGACAAATAAGGCACATCTCGCCCTTCCACGTTCTTCCTTGAAAAATGGCGATCGCGTTCCGACTGCACTCTTCAATCCACATTTTCTTCGTCTTGGTAGCATCAGCTGTACTCCTTATAACCAGCGTCGACGCGCAGCAAGGATGCGGAGGGAGCTGCCGCAGTCACGACGACTGCAGCGGGCGACTCGCGTGCATGAGCGGCAAGTGCGGCGATGACCCCGCCGTGGGAACGACCATCTGCAAGCCGCAATGGGGGGGAACGTGCAGGCCGTCGGGAAGCTTCCGGGCTCCTGCGTTCGTCCCCTGTGATTCGGATAACATGTGAGCCGCCATTCTTCTCATTGGAACACCGCAGCATAGTTATGTTTTTGTTACATGTCAGAGGATTCATTCTGTGGGGAAAATTTCCTGTGCATATATTTCTAAAAGCCCCCTAATTATGATTTTTTTTTGTGTCCCATGTGCAGGTCTGAATGCTGCAAGCCACTGGCCACGTACTACAAGTACACGTGCTCGCCACCTGTCAGCAATGTCACGTCAGCAATACTGACTCTCAACGGATTTGGTGATGGTAAGTACTAATCACCATACCCCCCTGTCAATCCATGAATCATGACTGATGGATACATCCCATTAGCAGTGGAAGACTCAATGCACGTCGCTCTGTGTTCCCATGATGCTCACAGATTTTCTCGCCTCTTCTCATCCCCCCCCCCCCCCCACCACCGCCCCACCCCAAGCACCAATTTCTCCCTGTTTCCTTTGAAAGACTTAATCATCCCCCTCTCCCTCCCCCCTCCCCCTTCTCACTTATGACTCAAACGCCAGGCGAGGACGGAGGGGGAGAGTCATCCTGTGACGGTCGATTCCACAGCAACACCGAGAGGGTCGTTGCTCTCTCCACCGGCTGGTTTGCCAACCGGAGGCGCTGCGGCCGTCAGATCCGGATCTCCGCATCCAACGGCCGCAGCGTGCTCGCGACGGTGGTGGACGAGTGTGACTCGCAGACGGGGTGCGACTTCATGCATGCAGGGCAGCCTCCCTGCATCATCAATGATGTGGATGCTTCGGCTGCTGTGTGGCAAGCTCTTGGGATAGGCGAAACGGATAGCAGATACGGATACATGAGGGTCACATGGCAGGACGTGTGAGGTGAGAGTATGTGCTCGGACTGGGGTCAGTTGCAATTGCATGGATGGTCGATGGCTGCTACAGAACTGATGGCATTCAAGAGTTGCCAGAGTAATAGGTGTCTTCAAGTGCAGTGTGTGTGCTGCACATGGTGAGTGGCATGATTTTCCTGGATAGAGCATCCCCTTGTATGCTCTTATGGTCTCCTGCGCTGTCAACACCTGGGAGGGGGGAGGGGAAGGAATTGGACAGGGAACGGAACCACCTGCTCCATCTCCCCATGTAGCCCGAAGTAGTCTGGTTTGTTGGTACTGTATGATATATGATTATATGATTAGATTCTTGTATAGATTTTCCATTGAACCGAACTATTACTACAGTTGAAGCACAGCAAGGTTCGTCCACGGTTGACCTGCAAGTGCAACTTCAAATGCCGAACCAGCCTTGCCATCTGGCGTGTCAGACCAAACCAAACCGACATCCACACCGACATGTGAGAAGGCGACACCTGTCGCGCACCGTCGTCGTTCCACTATCTGTCGCATGATCGCATCGCAAGTTGGTCGTTGCATAAGGTCAAGAATCAGACCCTTCCCATTCTTGGTCGCTGAGAGTCGCGCATACCGCATCCTGCGTGGCCCTCTGAATCCTGAGCGTACAAGGGCTGCTGCTAGGGATCGTAGTCCTACAGAATGGATGAGCGCAGGGAATAGTGGTTGCAATGCCTTAGCACCGTTAGCCACCGCTCTGCTTCTTACGCCGCTTCGTTACCTTACGAGAATCCTTGAAGTGTTATAAAGGTTTCTCCGTTACAATGGTGACCTCGTCCCGCCCGCACATCTCAGGCCACATTCTGCTCGCCCTAGTAGCGTCAGCCGTACTCCTTATAAGCAGAGTCGACGCGCTGCAAGGATGTGGAGGGAGCTGTAAACGCCACGCCGACTGCAGCGGGCGACTGGCGTGCATGAGCGGCAAGTGCGGGGACGACCCCGCCGTGGGAACGAAGATATGCAAGCAACAAGGGAGGGGAACGTGCAGGCCGTCGGGAAGCTTCCGGGCTCCTGTGTTTGTTCCCTGTAACTCGAATCACATGTGAGATGCCGTGCTTCTCAGTGTTACGGTATATCCACATTAGTGGTTATCTTGCAGGTAAAAAAAACATTTTTTTGTGTGATAATTATTCCTTGTGTTTGATTCTTAATCCAGATTCCCATACTGAACCCTGTGTTCTCCATGGTTAGGTCCGACTGCTGCAGGCCACTGGCCAAGTACCACAAGTACACGTGCTCACCACCTGTCAGCAATGCCACGTCAGCAATTCTCACTCTCAACGGATTTGGAGATGGTAAGCCACGATCACTCGTGTGTATCATGGACGGATCCATGCCAGTGGTCACGGGTGACCCAGTTGCTGTGATGCTCGCAAGTCCAATCACCCTCCCTGCTTCCTTCAAGTTCCAAGGTCCTCATCACTCTCCCACACTTCCCACCTTTCTCACCCACTCCCTTCGACTCAAACGCCAGGCCAGGACGGAGGAGGCGCCTCGTCTTGCGACGGCCGGTACCACAGCAACTCCGAGACGGTCGTTGCCCTTTCCACCGGCTGGTTTGCCAAACGGAGGCGCTGCGGCCGTCAGATCCGGATCTCCGCATCCAACGGCCGTAGCGTGCTCGCGACAGTGGTGGATGAGTGTGACTCGCGGGCGGGGTGCGATAGGATGCACGCGGGGCAGCCTCCCTGCATCATTAATGACGTTGATGCGTCTGCTGCTGTGTGGCAAGCGCTTGGGATCGGCCAATCGGATAGCAGATACGGATACATGAAGGTCACATGGCAGGATGTGTGATGTGCTGTGTGCTTGGGCTGCCACATAGTTGCAAAGGTGGTAACTACCGTAGCTACCTCATTCAGAAATGGAAAAATGGGCTGGCCACATGGTAGTACCCTGTTTTGAAGACCAGAACAATGCACAAGCTCAACGTGTTATTCTCAATCCAGGTACAGTAACAACGTGGTTCTTTGGCTGCCATTGCTTACTCCAACATGCTCTCCATATTAAGGTAAGGTAAGCTGAAAACACTGGTTGCACACTGCAACACAAACTGGATAGCAACTAACAAATTGTTGTGACACATTCTATGGGAACATGTGCTTAAAACGCACACCTCTGGGGAACTAGAGTGTTCCCCTGGCTCCCACTCATGTGCTAATCTGGTGTTTGTTTCTTTACTCATACGTGAAGTGGACGAATGTCAGATGAGATGACACCATCGCACACATTGCGTCACCTCTGCTGGGCTGATGGCTGCTCCAAGGCCTGTGTGTGGCTCACTAGCTCTCTATCGGCCTGTACAAGTCACACACACACACAGCAGTAACTCGGTTCCTTCTCAACCCAAAACACAACACAGCTCAGTGTTTTGTCCAAGCAGCAGGATCACCAGCTCAAGTCACACTCCCAACCTCAGCAACAGCAGTAGCACCAGGAGTCTCAGCAGCACCATTTGTCCCAGGACCACCTTCCTTGCTCTCCACCTCCTCTGATCCAACCCCTCCCTTCGCCGCATTCACAACTACCCCATTTCCCTCCCCTCCCCCTGCTCCCCCTCCCCCTGCTTCCCCTCCCACTGCCGCCCCTTTCCCCACTCCCCCCTCCTCCGCAGCGGCAGCAGCTTCAGCACGGGACTTCTGCCATTTGTCCACAATCCCCATCTTCTGCACCACAGACTGCATGTTTCAAGCAACACTCCCAACCTCAGCACCAGAAGCCTCAGCAGCACCACGCGTCTCCTGACCACCTCCATCAGTCACCACCTCAGATCCAACCTCTCCTTTCGCCCCTTCCCCAGCTGCCCCTTTTCCTTCCCCCGCACCCTCTTTCCCCACTCCCCCCTCCTCCGCCGCAGCAGCAGCTTCAGCACGGGACTTCTGCCATTTGACCACGTTCCCGATCTTCTGAGCAACAGACTGCATGCTCGGTCTTGCGTCCCACTCCTTAATCAGCGCGTACTTGGCGATGTAGGCCACTGCGAGGGCGTCCTTGCGGCGGCACTCGGGGGCGATGGCGGGGTCGACAAGGAGGGCGAGGTCGGGGTGGTCGTGGTGCAGCAGCGTGGGGATCAGGTCCTCGTGAATGCTGTCCTGGAGGACTGATTTCCCTGTAAGGAGCTCGACGAGGAAGACTCCAAACGCGTACACGTCACTCTTAGCATGCACGTGGCCTGATGAGGAGAGGAAGGGAAGGTGGGAGAGGGAGGGATGGGGTGAGGAAAACAAGGAGGTTGGGGGTGAGGAGGAGGGCGAGGGGGGAAGGTGGGAGATGGATGGGGTGAGGGGAAGAACGTAGTACCTGAGAGGTAGGTGGCACCTGAGAGATATCACAGGCAGTACCTGAGAGGTAGGTGTTACCTGAGAGGTAATACCTGAGAGGTAGTTCCAGAGAGGTAGTACCAGAGAGGTAGTACCTGAGAGGTAGTACCTGAGAGGTAGTACCTGAGAGGTAGTACCTGAGAGGTAGTACCTGAGAGGTAGTACCTGAGAGGTAGTACCTGAGAATAAGTACCTGAGAGGTAGTACCTGAGAGGTAGTACCTGAGAGGTAGTACCTGAGAGGTAGTACCTGAGAGGTAGTACCTGAGAGGTAGTACCTGAGAGGTAGTACCTGAGGGGCGGTACAGGGGATGTCGCACCTGAGAGGCAGAACATGAGGTCCATGCACAACTGCCTCTCATTTGATATCTCATGCACCACTGCCCCAGGACTCAAACCGTCTAACAAGTGGCATGTACCTGAGAGGTAGTACCTGAGAGGTAGTACCTGAGAGGTAGTACCTGAGAGGTAGTACATGGGGTCCATGTAGCCAAAGGAGCCCACGACTCTGGTTGTGACGTGCGAGCGCCAGTCCGCTATGCCCTTGGCCAGCCCAAAGTCCGCCACCTTGGCCGTGAAATCCTGGCAGGGGAGGGAGGAAGGAGGGGGGCGGAGGGAGGGAGGAGGGAGGACAGACGCGGCTCAATGCTTGAGCAAACTCACAAAACAACCAGCCAAATTTGCAAGTTGCAAATCATCTACCATCACGAAGACTGAGCAGCACTGCGTGCGAGCAGCACACCCAGCTTTGCGAGGAGGAGCACACGCACCTGAGCGAGGAGCACGTTGGTGGCCTTGCGGTCACGGTGGATTTTAACGCAGCGAGTGCATGAATGCCACTGCCTGCTGTTGATGCGCCTTATACCCTTAAAAGCGTTTAAATGTTTTAAGCCCCTAAAACGCCACACAGCACACAAACCCACCTGGGTGAGCAGCATGTTGCTGGCCTTGAGGTCACGGTGGTGTATCGCAGCGAGTGCATGAACGCCACTGCCTGCTGTTGAGACGCCTCATATTTCTTCGGTGACTACTTTTGAAGTGCGTCATATTACTTAAGGTGTCAACTTTGAAGGCGTCTATTATTGAGGCGCCTCAAAAGCAGCTCAGCACACCAACCCACCTGGGTGAGCAGCACGTTGCTGGCCTTGAGGTCGCGGTGGATGTAGCGCAGCGAGTGCATCAACGCCACTGCCTGCGCCACCTCGTGCGCCACCTTCAGCCTCGCCGCCCACGGGAACGTTGCTTCGCCCTTCTTGCCTGCCATTGCCACCCACCCACCCACGCACACACGGCACCCACGCACCCCATAGCAGCACGACACACACACGATTAAGAATCTTTCTGCGACTCACGAGCGTGCAGTGCAGGGACTCGCAACTGGCGAGCAGTGAGTGCAAGAGCACAATTTGAGCCAACTTAGAAACTCACGTGGGTGAATGGGTGGGTGGGGGGGGTGCAGGGCCTCACAGCGGGTGAGCAGGGCGTGCACGTCCCCCTTAGGCATGTACTCGTAGACGAGTGTTGTGCATGTGATGTGATGTGATGTGATGTGGTGTGGTGTGGTGTGATGTGATGTGATGTGATGTGATGTGGTGTGGTGTGGTGTGGTGTGGTGTGGTGTGGTGTGGTGTGGTGTGATGTGTGTGATGTGATGTGATGTGATGTGATGTGATGTGATGTGATGTGATTTGATGTGGTGTGATGGAGGTGAGAGATATGCATGCGTGAGGGGCCTCACAACGGGAGAGCAGGGCGTGCACGTCCCCGTTGGGCATGTACTCGTAAACGAGCGCCTTGCTGGGGTGCGGCGAGTACGCCAGCAGCTCCACTATGTTGCCGTGCCTCACCGCCCCAAACGTCACCAGTTCCGTCTGTGGGGCAAGAAGTAAGCAAGGGAGGGAGGGAGGGAGGGAGGGAGGGAGGGAGGGAGGGAGGGAGGCAGGGAGGGGGGAATGGGAAAACAGTAGCTGAGGCATGAAGGACGGACAAAGAGAGCAAGTTCATCACAGAAGGGGTTTGGGTGGACAGTCAAGCACACAGCAAGAAGCACAGCAAGCACGGAGAGCCAGTCAGCGTACCATAAACTCGTAATCGCCCTGAAAGCTGTGCGGCGCAAGAACCTTCACTGCAACAGGAATTGGCTTGCAACCACCAGCGTCCCTCTCAACCATCCGACCGGCACCAGGCTTCGACCCGCCTCCTCCTTCACCCTCACCACCCCCGCTCCCATCCGCATCCCTCTCACCCGCGCCTCCTCCTCCCTCGCGGGACTCATGGGGGCATCTGCAAGGGCCGTTGGGGCTAGCACCACACGGCCGCATCTCGCCTTTATACACCTTCCCGAAACCACCCTCCCCCAGCACGGTGGAGAAATTGCGAGTCACACATTTGATCTCGTCCTCTGTCAGCCGTGGGATGGTGAGATCCGCAGGCGGCTCCAATGAACGCCCGCGTCCCCCGCTGCCTGTGGACGACCCGGCGCCTCCGGAGCTGAGCAGGCTGCCGGAGCTTCCCGAGGTTCCTGACACTCCAGAGACTCCGGATACTCCCGATGTTCCTGATACTCCCGAGACTCCTGACACTCCCGAAGCTCCTAATACTCCAGGGGTTCCTGACACTCCAGAGGCTCCTGATACTCCCGAGGCTCCTGATCCTCCCGAGGCTCCTGATACTCCCGGGACTCCTGAGACTCCCGAGGCTTCTGATGTTTTAGAGGCTCCAGGTACTCCCGGGGCTCCTGACACTCCCGAGGCTTCTGACACTCCCGAAGCTCCTGACACTCCCGAAGCTCCTGATATTTCCGAGGCTCCTGGCGCTCCCGAGGCTCCTGAAACTCCCGAGTTTCCTGATGCTCCGGCTGTTCCCGAAGCTCCTGTCGATGCTACTGCCGCTCCTAATACTCCTCGTGCGTCCGACGCGAGTGCCGCCGGTGGCTCGGCTCTGGATAGTTCGGCTTTGGGTGGTTCCGTGGACGGAGAAGGCTGCTGTGGTGCGACCAATGCTGAGCTGGCAGCTTCTTTTTCTGAGAGCAGGAGGTGAGGAAGATTGTAATAAACAAGATTGTCATTTGTTACAAAAAAAAATATGGACAGTTAAGCGTGGGATATCATTTTAAACGACGTAAACGGCATGCCTGCGAATGTAATATGGTATGCAGGCGTATCATTCAGACAATGTGCTACGACGTTGGCATATAGCTAGAACAATAAGGAACAGACAGGAAAACAGAAAGAAAACAAGAAGCTCCTCCGTAAGTGATGTTACGTACGCTGAGATAGTTTGCTTTTGGGAAGACCTGCCTCATGCGAAGCATCTCGCGACGACACGCAACCCATGGATACAATAAAAAATGTAAAAGCAGGGTCAATTAGCTTCTAGACCAGGAATAGTCTCCTATTGCGGAATTCTGTAGACTAAAACGCAACCGCTATGATTAAAAAAAAAAAATAATAATTATTGAATACATATTTATGCGACAGGTAACAACATACTCGGCTAGGAGCTAGGACTGAAGCTCAGGAATGGGCCTACTCCAGTCAACTCTCCAACTGCTTTTCTGACGACACGAGTTTAACGCTCGAGAGTGGTCATGCTTTAGCAGCTCAATCATATGTGAGGAGGAGCACTCGCATGTGGTCTGCCGAGTTCATCACTTCGGCCTCACGATGACCACTCACCTCAGCACCACCACCAAATACTACCGAACCTGGGTGCAATTGGTTTGGAGCTCCAATCAGACCTCCAGTCAAGGTTTCCGAGTTCCACCCCGAGGCTACTTCTGGTCTTCCGCACCTATTTCTCACCGCTTGGTTCACCACATCAGGTCCTCCAAGCCTCCATTCCCGGTGCAGTGGTCTGACTGGGAACACCGATATCCGCCGCACCTTCGTCATTCTGCGATGGTGAGGAGATTCCTTGCAAATTCCTGATTCGGTAGAGAGCTGCCAGGCTAAATGCAATGGAACATAAAGATGCTGGTGAAATCTCAAAAGCATATAATGCTACAGCAAAGTCAGTCACTGTTACTGCATTGCGGAAAATAAGGACATGTACGGAGAAATTTTGAATTTTAATATAATCTCCTGATGCTATTTTTCCGTTTTCACAACATTGGTAATGTTAAACAAGGATCTGCATATGGGAGCTGAAATTCACAGTCCAGACCAGAAATCAAAGTTACCCTTGTAGTTTTAGCATATTTGCGAGAGTATTACTTAAATCTACTTAACGAGCTAAGCACTATCCCCATCACCAGCCCCTTCACGTCCCAAGGCAACCGTTATCAGTTGCTTCGACGAACACCTACATTTTCCAGGCATTCCAAATATTTCGTTAGCCGTCGATTGCTTCGCTAACCAAACCGCTCAAGCCTAGATCCTGCCGAACGTGACGTAGGAATCCTTCCCCGCCAAACTTCCACACCAACATTTTTCACAGCTTTCCCTCTGGTTGCTGCTCCAAATCTTCAGGTAGCATCTCCAAACCAGTTTCTGAGTTGGATTGGATCAGCTATTCAGATCTGCTTCCCTTAGAGAAGGCAACCTCTGTAGGCTCCATAGCAGTAGGAGTTACTTGCGATCAGGCCACATAACTTGGGTTTCGCGTCTTATCTTGATCGGCTAGCGTTTCCTGCGGTGGCAAGATGGCTACAGCAAGCGCTCCTATCGTTTTGAAGGAGGCCCTCAGCGTGAGTAGGAGAGAATGAAGGTAGATTTGTGTAAATCGACCAGGACAATATGATCGGTTTCGTGTTCTTCAACCGCGTGGCGCTTTGCTAATAAAATTAGGTTCTTAAGGTAGATTGTTACTCGACGACTTCTGAGTTTCACGACATGGGTCTCTTTTCCCACCTTATCTTCTTGCGCAGTTGACAAATCTGGGGGTCAATCAACAGTTCATCTCCTTCACTCATGTCACGATGGAGTCCGATAAGTATATTTGCGTCAGGGAAACGGCTCCGTCGAACAGTGTTGTCATCATTGACATGGCGATGCCAATGCAGCCTTTGAGGAGGCCTATCACTGCTGACTCAGCATTGATGAATCCTGAAAGCAAAATCTTGGCGCTCAAGGGTCAGTTTGCTACTAGTTCGTGCTTACGTTTGAGGCTGTGTAGGTTCGGATTACTCAGACGTTTCGGTTCAAACGTGCAGCTTTGATTCAAGGGACGACTCAAGATCACTTGCAGATTTTTAACATCGAGGCTAAGGCTAAAATCAAATCGTACCAGATGCCAGAGCAGGTCAGCACCAGATTAAAGTTGCATCTGCCATCAGTTTGAAAACGTTTACTGACAGACTGCTTCTCTCTTTCCAGGTTGTGTACTGGAAGTGGATCTCCAACAAAGTTCTCGGCCTCGTAACTCTGACATCTGTTTACCACTGGTCGATCGAAGGTTGTACTCAAAACTAAATCCTCTGCCACCCCTTTCTGTCAAAAATTTCCTGAATCATCAAAGACAGGCTTTTGCAGCGAAGATGCAGTGCTGAGACTTTTTATTCCTTTTCCTTGTTGACTCTACCAGGAGAGGGAGAGCCCGTCAAGATGTTCGAGCGGACTGCGAACTTGAACGGTAACCAGATTATCAACTACCGGAGTGATCCCTCTGGCAAATGGCTTGTTCTGATCGGCATCGCCCCTGGTGCTCCTGAGGTATGCTGAAAGTCTCATCTTTTTAGATTAAGTAATCAGAAGTCGCGATTATGGTGCTTCATGATGTGCCTTCAATTTTTGTTTGCTTGCAGCGTCCACAACTCGTCAAGGGAAATATGCAGCTCTTTTCTGTGGATCAGCAGAAGAGTCAGGCATTGGAATCGCACGCAGCTGCGTTTGCCTCCGTGAAGGTCCGTTGATTCCGTAACCCAATTATTGTTTGTTAAATCTCGCATGTCATTTACAGGAAATTGTACATTGAGCCCATGCGAAGCGTTTGCATTGCTAAGCAAGTACTCGACTGACTGTGATCGCGCAGGTGCCAGGAAACGACACTCCGTCCCTGGTCATTGCTTTTGCCACCAAGACTATCACTGGCGGACAGCTTATTTCGAGGTTGCACATTATCGAGCTTGGTGCTCAACCAGGTCAGTGAATGTTACATCCCTTGCGAGAATTGGATGTTTTGGAATATATTGGTTTAGCTGACAAGTCAAGCCGGGTTGTTCTGTTGCAGGTCGCGTTCCTTTCACGAAGAAGCAGGCCGACCTGTTCTTCCCGCCAGATTTCGCTGATGACTTTCCGGTCGCCATGCAGGTGAGGAAGCTTGCGTCCAATGCCTCAACCCACAGACGTTTACGACTCCTCCCGCTTCTGCGGTTCAACCCCCTTGTTCTCCCCCCGTGTGCACCCGTCGACCTTTACACTTTTACCCTTCGTTCAGGTGTCAGCGAAGTTCGGCCTGGTGTATGTGGTCACCAAGCTGGGCCTGCTCTTCGTGTACGACCTCGAGTCCGCCACAGCTGTCTACCGCAACCGCATCAGCCCCGACCCCATCTTCCTGGCCGCCGATGCTCCCAGCGTGGGCGGTTTCTACGCCGTGAACCGCCGCGGGCAGGTGCTGCTTGCCACGGTGAACGAGCAGACCATCGTCCCGTTCGTCAGCGGCCAGCTGAACAACCTGGAGCTCGCTATCAACCTTGCTCGCCGCGGGAACCTTCCTGGTGCCGAGAATCTGGTATGCTGCACGACTTGAATGCATTCGCCCTTGCTCTTACTGAAACATTGCTTGGCGTGAGTGCTCAACTGTTTTCATGTGTCTGAGCATGCCAGTCCTGGTTGTGTTTCTCGTCGTTACCTCTGTGCAGGTCGTGCAAAGGTTCCAGGAGCTGTTCTCGCAGATGAAGTACAAGGAAGCTGCGGATCTGGCTGCTGAGTCGCCCCAGGGAATCCTTCGCACGCCTGAGACGGTGGCTAAGTTCCAGGTATGGCCAGTGGTTAGACGGGCTAGCAAATAACCTCACACATGCAAAGGAACTGATGGACTTCTGTCGCACACCTTGTAATGTGTTTCCTCGTTCGTTACTTCCTCCTGTTCCCGTTCGTGTGTGCGTCGTGCAGAGCGTTCCCGTGCAACCGGGGCAGACCTCTCCCCTGCTGCAGTACTTTGGCACGCTGCTCACCAAGGGCAAGCTGAACGCGTTTGAGTCGCTGGAGCTGTCGCGCCTGGTGGTGAACCAGAACAAGAAGAACCTCCTCGAGAACTGGCTGAACGAGGACAAGCTGGAGTGCAGCGAGGAGCTCGGTGACCTTGTCAAGGTGAGTGCTTGGTGACTCTAGGGTGTGTTTCGTGGTTTGAGATGGGAGGATAGCATTGTACGGCTCAGTGTCACCGCAAGGCACTCGCCATATGCTTGAACTGGCCAGTTAATTCCATGGAAACCTAGGTAGCGCAGAATTGGTGAAAGTGAAACGGCTCAACATGAAGGAATATTGCCCAAAAGCACGTGCTGTATGAACTTTCTAATGAGCAACAGAATGAAGTTAGCCATAAGAAATCAGATACACCATACCTAGTTGCTAACATATATTCTTTCCCTGTGCTGCCACAACAGCCTGTGGATGGGGACATGGCACTGAAGGTGTACATCAAGTGCCGTGCCACGCCCAAGGTCATTGCATCCTTTGCTGAGCGCGGGGAGTTTGACAAGATCCTCGTGTACTCCAAGCAAGTCGGGTACAACCCCGACTACCTCTGGCTCATGCAGACCATGCTGCGCAGCAACCCACAGGTATGTGTCCCACGTTCGCCCTTTTCTGTCCTTGATGCTGACTGCTTTGCTACTGGTAGCAAGTTGGCTCACCCTTTATCTCTCCTGCTGGGTATGCTGGTGGTGGTATGGTGTTTCAGGGAGCACTTAACTTCGCCCTAATGATGGCGCAAATGGAGGGAGGCTCGCCGCTCGACTACAACACCATCACTGATCTCTTCCTCCAGGTTCGTGATTGGCTCACCAACCATTCATGCCACACTATCACTCATGTGTTGTGCTTACTCACGTTCGTGCTCCCTCTGACTCAGTTTATTCGCCCATTCGTTTTTCCTTCTCTGCGTGACATGCATTTGTGGTGTGCAGAGGAACATGATTCGCGAGGCAACTTCCTTCCTGCTGGATGTGCTCAAGCCTAACCTGCCGGAGCATGCCATGCTGCAGACCAAGGTATGTGCATATGTGCATGTAACTCAACTGATCGTTGTTTGAACTCTGCATGTGGTGTACTCTTTCCAGTCAGAGCGAATAAAACAGGCAGGAAAAACCCTCTGTTTTTCCAGTAATTATTGGAGGGTTTTGTTGGTTGTGACCATTCTGTGTGTCTTGTTTCATGTTGCTCTATGCCTGCTA